AAATGAGATGAAATTCGTTCAAGCCAATGGAGAGAGCATTTCTTCAATTTTCTCTCAAATCTTCCATGAAACAAGTTTTCTTTCTCTAAGTTTTAAAGGAGTTTTGCATAATTTTTCAAGGAGAACAAGATAGGAGCCTTGGATCTTCAAGTTGAAGAGTTTAAGGTAAAGATTAAAAACCCTAGTTTTGATGTGGTTTGAAGATTTGAAGTAGATGTTGAGGTATAATGTTATATATGTAGGATTCAGGTGTAAAAGAAGACAAAGGCAAATGATTTGTTGGAGCCTTGGAGGAATTCTTTAAAAATGTAAGGAAGAACCTCCCATGACTTTAGGGATTATGCTAGGGTTTGTAGATTTTTATGAAACCTTAAATTAAGGAGGTGTTTGTCTGAGCTTATGAAAATTAGCTTATAAATAACAATTGCTTATAAGCTAAAATTAACTTATAAGCATTTGAAATTTTAAGCAATTACGTGTTTGGTAAAATGTGGCTTATAAGTACATTTTATTATAAAATTACTAAAAAAGATACTATATTAAACAATGGCATACTATAGAATTTTAAAATTAAACAAGGATAATGTGGTAATATACTTGGTCAAACTAGCTTATAAGCAAAAAAAAAAAAAAAAAAGTACCTCCCCCCCAACTTATTTTTTTTGGCTTATAAGCTCAACTTATAAGCTCAAAAAAATTATAACAAACAGGTCAGCTTAATTTTAGAGCTTATAAGCAAGTTTGACTAGCTTATAAACTTAAACAAACACCCCCTAAAGCTTTAAGGCATAGAATTAGTTGATGGCAGGTGTAGTTAAACTCATTTATTCTACTTATTGCCTTGAATTCATTATACATGAAGTTATTGCTATTTATGTTTTATGAGTTGTTATCTTTGATTGAAGAAAATGAAGTGTGGATGTTGATTGTGAAAAAACTTGTAGTATTGGAGGTCACATGGTGTTGAATGGTTGCTATTAAAAGTGTTGAGGTGTTGTTTGCATTAGCTTACAATGTTATAACAATAATGGATGATTATGAGAATGAGATTTTAAACTTCCTTTAAGATGTTAAAGACTATTAAGGTTTATTTGATCCATAAGTTGACTTATTGGTTAATTGTCAATATGAATTGATGTGGCATTGTTAATATGAAAAAATTCGGATTTGGTAAGCTTAGGAGTTATGTTAAACATGCTTCAATATTTCGACTATAACTTGAGTTATAAAAATCGAAATGAGATGATTCTTGAAGCATTAGAACTTTAAGACATAGACCTATAACTTTGATGCTTGTGCCAAGAGTCAATTCGTTTGAGAAATTGATGGAAAATGGCATGAAGTATAAACTTATGGTTATTAAAGTTTAAGATTTAACATGATCAATTCTTATGATTATGACTTGATTATTAATGTATTATTATAATTTTGCCATGTACTAATGTTTACCCATTAGTTAGATGATCTTTGAAAAATATACATGGTCATGATGTCAATGCATGATTAATGTTATGAAATGGCATGAAGATGCAATGTAATATATGTTTTAAGATGATATATGTGAGCAAGAGGTAATGTAAATGGATTGATAATCTATAGATGAATTAAAAGTATTAAGCTCACCAAAATATGTATTTACATGCCATAAGATGGTAGAGATGCATATAGACATGATAGAGATGCATATAGACATGATGGGAAACGCGTAAGCATATCCTCGTATACCGGTTGAGGAAAGATGAATATATGCTTTAGATGTTAAATAACGCGTAAGCACACCTCCCGATGATATAAGCTCTAGATTAATTTGAGGTTAGATGATATGAAGTGCTTAAGATGCTAAGAAAAGTCCGATCGGCTACACGTTAAATGCTTCGTATGCATTTAGTTGCACTACATGAGTTATGATGTTATTTACATCATGAGATGATTTATACTCATGTTAGATGATATTTAGATGTTATATCATGACATGTAATGTGTGTGTACTATGTTTACATACTTATTTGTACGTGTATGCATTGATGTTTATATAGCCATGGGATAAAATGATGAAAGACATATGAACTAGAAAGGAAAAAAAAGGGGGAAGTATCCCTAGATGTAAAAAATAAGTGTTGTGTTAACAAATATGTTTAAATGAGGGTCAAATAGCACATTTAGAATCCAATAGATCATTCCTTACTGAGCGATTAGCGCTCACCCTTTCATTGTTGATTGTTTTGCAGGTAGACCAAAAGCAAAGGATGCTAGAGACAACGGGGCTTCATGTGAGGGAAGATGATTTATTGTCATCTTGATATTTTTATTTTGATGTAAATAATGTAAATGATAAATGTTTGTGAAACACCTTTGGAAGCTTCCACCCTATAAATATATTTTGATTGTGTAATGTCCGAGTAAATTCTTAAAGTTTTTGAAATTATAAGTTTGGATCCTGCGTGACATCTTATATGCATGTTTTGGATATTATTATTATTATCCTTACCTAGTTTTTTTTTTTCTAAATACAATTCGTTCTCCAGACATGTATCCTCGGGATTCTCATGGAGGGATATTCAGAGGATACCTGACTTAAGGGAGGTTTTACACCGCTGTAGGATTTCTTTAAGTTATTAATTCTTTATTGGGTTAGGATTGGGAATAAAAATCCTGGTAAAACTAGGTTTTGTCACTTAAACCTAGTATATAAACATACTTTTTTATTTTTTATTTTTTATTTTTTATGAGTGTGATAGCAATTATATGACAATTCATTCATTGTAAACGAGAGAGGTGAGAAAGTATTGCAATAATATTGACTCGGCTGGACGTGGCCCATGTTGGGTGAATTAGGGTAAATCACGCATGTTATTTTCTCTGTGTTTATTATATGTGATTTGCTTTATTGTTATTTTGTTCTCGCTGCTATCTCTATTTCGTTCAATCATGAGTTAATAATATTATTAAATTGCTCTCATATTGTTTATTTTAACCCCTAAAATTTAACAGTAGAGAGATTTCTATTATTTCCAAAAGGAATTTTGTTAGAGATTTTTGTTGTTATATCCTACTTGGCGGATTAATGTCATTAATTCACAAAATAAACTTGATGGGTTGCTTAGTATGTATTAATTTTCAACGGCATCATAGGAGGTCATTGCAAACAATGTTGCAACATTAGTAGCAGAAATTTGTGTTTATGCTCACAGTTGTGGGTCGGGATAGACTATTTAAACATATCGCTTAAGAGATAAATTTATAGATAAGCCTATATCGCTTAAACGATAAATTTACATTGCTTAAGAGATGATCATTTAGTAAAAAAATTCAAACTTTATAACTTTTAAATTCATCCCAAACTTGAAATGGTATTTTGATAAAATTTCTGGTTGTTGTTTGTGGGCCTAAAGCAAGGAACCTTTTAGTTAAATTGTTAATATAATAGTTCTACATCTATATGTTTGCAAGAAGGCGGCAATACAAGGGCCTGAGTTTTCACCATTTACCCAGCCTCATTCCAGTGACCCAGTCCCAACACAGTTCTTTCCAAACATTATTGATCATAAAGCCCGGACAACTGGAAATAGTTTTTTGGACATTTTAAGATGAGTGCAAACATACGGCTTGTACCTATAAGCCATGGACTGGAATGGATAGTTAATTACATTGCTTAAACCACTTCACTTACATTAAAGAAAAATAATTTTCAATTGAGTAGGAAACTGGATTAGTATTTAGTTCTTCAATCAAGGTCAATTGGATTGAAAACTCGCAAGTGTCTGCATTATGCCATTTTTATTAATTGATGAAATTTCTCAGGCTTATCCTTCATGGGCCAGCCCACAAAGTGAAAAATCACATACGCAGCTTTCTTATAATATAAGAAGCACATGGAAACACTTATGTCACTGCCAAATAAATTTTTATAATAAACCGTATAAACTTCTTATTTATAGAGTTTATAGAAATATTAAGCACGCTGCTCAATCGTAAATCACATTTCCGAAGCACAAAATTTACAGGCCCCTTTATTCACTATTATTATCCTATTCTATTCAACTATTCTATCTTAAAAACCTAAAAATATAGGATACGTTTGATTTATTATTTTGAATAGAATTTTGGAAATAATATTTGGTAGTTGGATAGAAGAATATTACGAGGTAGAATTTGAAAATTTATAAAAAAGCCTCTAGGTTTACTAATTTAATTAAATACCCTAATATATAAAATGACAAAAACACCCCCACCACCTACAGTGCCAGATTCCAGCCACCACCGCCAGAATCTGACCGAAAAATCGTGTTACGACACAGACCGATCGGATTTGTGTCATAACGCGTCGTTTTGGCCTTTTCCGACCAGATCCACTTTTCGGCCGTCGCGACCACAACAGGTCGTAGATCTAACATTTTTCGGTCAGATCCACCATAGATCTGACCGAAAAAGATCATATCTACGACCTGTTGTGACCGCGACGACCGAAAAAGGCCAAAACAACGACCAAAGATATGGCCGTCGTTTTCGATCAACGATGATCATTTCTTTGACCGTCGTTCACGACCAGATCTGACCTTTTCCGGCCAGATCCGTGGTATATCTAACTGAAAAAAGCCAGATCGGTGAACTTCCGACCATTTATAGTCGACAGGTAGGCCGTTGTACAGATTCCAGCTACCACCAATGGTGGTTACCGAAATATGGGTCGCGGGGTGTTTTTGATAATTTTTAAACTTTTTTTTCAAGGTGTATTTGATGAAATTAGTAACCTTATAAGATCTAAAAGTAATTAAAAAAAATAAGATAATATTTTTGGAATAATGTGCGAAACATTATTTAGAGAATATAATTGGGAATATAGATAAAAATAATAAGCCAAACATGCCCATATTTGTTTCAATATTCTCAAAATTAAATTATACTTTATTTAGCTCTCAAAACATTAATAATTACCTTTCTCGTAAAAATAACCCAATTTTATTTTTTCCAAAATACTATTATAAAAAATATCATAATAATGAATCACCCAAACCTTCTTTATCTATTGAAGGTATTAAGCATTGACATTGCTCAACCGTAAATCAGAATGCTCCAGCTACAGACACTCAAAATTTAGTACAGGCCTTACAGAAAGTCAAAAAGCAAAAAGAGATCAACATCAGAGTACGCTGCTAAAATTTTAAACCAGAATTGAATTCCTGCTTCTCCAAGCCATTACAGCAGTAGATGCCTCTAGCCCTGCATGAAACATTAGCTTCACAATCTCTATTGTTCAACACCAATGCATTCAAATTAGCTTATTAACATCAACGGTAATACAGGTTAAAAGGATCTAGTACTAATCTCAATGTGTCTCTAAATATTAGAAATAAATATCAAAATCTTTCATCCAAACTATTGCAGCTGCATAAATCAAAAAGGTTTTTAAAAGTAATATGGAGGTGTGCGTAACCCAAACCCATAGAGTCATTCACTCTGTCAAGTTAGGGCTTTAAACACCACCTATATCATTTTATGGAGTTGGCTAGGCACCAGAGCAATTGTAAGTAAAATGCGTGGTGAATTTGAGAGTCAACTCCTCCATTCTTATGATGGTAATGCGAATCAACACAGCAAACTTCTATTCTTAAGAGCTTCGTTACAAATCTTAATAGAAAGAAAGAAAAATATATTCCATCAAACCAAATACATGCGAACTGAAACTAATGACCTCCAAAAACGGAACTTGTTCAAGCAATCATAACCAAAGAAAGTGTCAAGAAAACTAATTTATTTCCCTAAAATTGCAAACCATACAGTCACACAGGGAAATTATCCATCAAAATCTTTTACAAGGAATCGATAGTTTACACAAAAAAATGCTGCCAAAATTGGTTGAAGATATCCGCATCAATCAAAAGGTATCGGAGTAAACGTAATATGATATCAGCCTTTAAGAACTAAATTTCAAATTTTACAGTGCGAAGCAACTGTTCATGCCATTCTTTATGAAATTTTAATCATAAAGCCTAACATTACAGATCAAACACCAATAGATAAGATGCAAATGAATACAAGAGATTAAAGCATGATTAAGCAAATAAAAAGAAATTAAAGGAAGAGGATGGCGCTCATATTCTATGGGTGTAAACGAGTCTTTCATGCCATTGCCATAGCATATTCAGTACGAGGAATTTTTTTTTAATCATCGCAACCAGACCTCTCTTAAATATAAATCATTCAATTATTTATACACGCGAAAGGTATTGAGAAACAGAGAAAAATTGAAATGACCTTGATGTTTGATCCCTTTGTAAAGCGCCGCATATATTTTTTATAGTCGAAACCTCCTTCGAGCTCGCCTATTATATAGAGATTGCGACCTTATCAAACTTGTATTGCCCAAAACCCTAACCTAACCGTAGTTGCATCATTTGAAGTGCCCAAGGCCTAATAATAATCAACACGATGTCGTATAGGCCACCACTGACTCCACACTGTCTTTTGCAAACGGCATCTTTTTGTTTTATTTTTTTATCGTCGTTTTCAAAGCCATGCGGCCCAGCCCACCGCCCATTCCAAAAAAATACAACCCAAGATGACTGTCGTTTAACCAAACGACGCTGATGATGAAGTCTAAGTAGTCAACAACTTGATTGATCATTCGGTCGTCATCAAATAGAATATAATTTTTTTTATTAACTAGTTGATTATAAGGCTACTTAAAATTGTGATTATTTCAAAACTTTGAATTCAGTTAAAGTATTTTATTTATATAATATGTACTTACACATTAAAAATGATGAAAAAGAAATGAAATCAAGTGATGAGGTCTCCTTAAACAATGGAGCTTAAATGTCAATAAATAGAAGATGTAAATACTTAACTAATAAAGGTTTTATAGACATGACTGTCTAATTAGTTATACCAACCAAATTTTCATCTTTTTCCACAAATAATTTGAGAATATAAGCATGGAAGGCCAATACTTGCACGGCGTTTACTAAATGTTGATTTGACCAATTCTTATGTCTATGTGGCTCTACTTCTAACTTCCCAGTAAAACTATGCCACATATTGTTCCGCAAAAGACAGAGAGAGATGGCTGTTCGACGTGCCACCACCGTTTACCGACCCCCTTTTTCAACAACGTGCAAATACTCTAGTGAAGGCATGAAATTAACTAGCACTATGATTAGATATGTGCATTACTTACATTGGAAATTCTATTCGTGGTGAATTATTGCTATATATTAGAGTAAACGGCCTTTTCCCACTCAAGGTTTGTCTTAATGACATTTTTTCACCCAAAAAGTTTCAAAATACAACTTTTTCATCAAAAGTTAATATTTCATTACTATCTAAAACCAATTCTAACAGTAAAAATTATATTTATCATCACCATTTGAGCATCTGATTTTCTCTCTATAAAATTTATTTCACTCCGACATCTGATTTATCGTTGATTGTTGGCCATCACAAAACTAGAGTTGCCTGGTCTTGGTGATTTTTTACTGATTCTGACAGAAAATAGTCAATCGGTCATTACCATTCAATCCACCCGCCTCTACTATACAAAAACCCTCTTACCCTGACTCTTGGTAACTTGTTGAACATCATCTAAGAAAGTGACGTGTATACAAAACATAAACGTTAGGTGAAAAAGTGGTATTTTAAAATTTTTTTAAGTGGAAAAGTGTTATTAAGACAAACCTTGGGTGGGTAAAAGTTGTTTACTCCTGTACATTACCATCTAATGTTTTCCGAATTGGGAGAATATCTCTGACTGAACCCAGTAAACATGGCCATTATTACTTTATAGCCAGGGGGCATGCCACCCGCTTGACTTCAATGTGAAACATTAGCAAATTATAGGATTATTTATCAATAACAAAACCCGGTGTTCGTTACTCTCCAGTCTCCACTCATCGATGGGGTTAGGTTTTGATTCCATGTGTTATATTAGATCAAGACACCATATGATAGTTTGGTCACACTAGACATACCAACTTAAGTTAAGGGAAGGACTTTTTTAAACTTCCAAAGCTTACGTTACTTGCTTCTTTCTCATTTAATTAATGGGGACATATAATATTCTAAACATGTACTTGAAAACGAGGGAGAAAGGTTAAGGTGGTGAAGTCGATCAGGGAATTGAATGTAATATCGAACACCATGCACTTATTCAAAAGTAGTTTAATTGCACATGACTTCTAAAATTTAAATGGATGGGATCTTCTTATCTAATCGGGGTTGCTGTTTTAATTTAAAAGTAAAAGAAAATGATAAATTAATTATTATATGATTTCATTTAAATGCTTTATATATATTTTTTATGTATTTAACATTTGCAGACAATTCAATTAACATACGCATTTAAGTAGTATAAGCAATTGTATTTAAAACTGAATATTTGTTTGTTTTTTAGTTTTTATCGTAACATTCAAATTTGTCATTATTCCTGTAGGCAAATATAGAATGAGGCGGCAAGAATATAGATAATACATATTTTATTAGGTCAGTCAATAATTCTGAATTTGTCACTTTCACTTGCACTCTTTTTCTAACTTCTCAACTTCAATGACTTGGTCTTTTCTCTCCCCCTTTCACTGTCTATACTTTGAATTCTGTTTAAAAGCTAAAACCAACGGCCAACCAAGCTCCCCCTTGTACACGTTATATATGCGCGTTGTCCTTAAAAGATTATGCGATTATACTTATAAGATAAAAATATTCTCCTCTATATAAATCCTAACACACCTCCTCAATCCTGTAGTTCCATCATCAAAACATGAACCGAATGAATAAGGTTCACTCACAAGGGAGAAGTGTGCCCTTCTCTTGGGAGAACGAGCCTGGAGTCTCCAAAGTGATCACAAATGAAGAGCAGCAGTGGCGAAGCCTTTCTTTAAGGCTACCACCACCTCCCTGTCCCAAGGACAGCGCCCGGTTTACAGTTCATGATATACAAATCCCTCTTCCTCCATGTGCGTTTCAGCCTCCTTCAAGAAGTTCTTCTAAAAAAGGTCTTGATCAAGACCCCTTTTTTGTAGCTTTTAAGGAGTGCACCAAGACCAGTAATACTACTACTACAAAATCCAAGTTATTGCCTAAACTTATTAGTTCAAATCGTAAGAGGGGTATATTTAATTTCTTTTGCACGCGTTCCTGTAGTGTTGTAGATGATAACTTAATGAAGATTTCTCAGCTTCCTTGTAAGAAAGATGAAGACTGGTGATTTCAAAATTATGGTCTGTATAATGGACTGTGATTGTTTTTGTACATGTTTTGGTGGTGTACTTATGGTGATTGCTTTCATTTATTTTTTATTTGCGATTTAATTATATAAATCAGAGCGAATTCAATGTTTGATGTGCCATAAATTTACGTTGCTCTAAATAAATTATAACAGTTTTATACATATATAAAAAAATAGTTACTCATTCATGATTTTATATCTTATAAAGATTTTTATACAAAGTAATATAACCGAAAATATTACTCTATTAAATCTTTATAAATTTTATTTATATGTATAAATTTCCTATTAAATATACATTCGGTTAGGGGGAATATATGTGTTAAACATTGTTATACTTACAACTGAGTCGTATAAGAGTCATATAAATGGACAAAAAAACAAATGACATAATAATTATTTTACATAAATTTTTTATAATTTTTATTGTTTGTATGACTTAATTATACAATTATAAATAAAACATAATTTATATGCGTTTGTGCATTAATATGCTCCTTTTAGAGAACCCATTGCCCAGCTGGGCTGTCTACCTTCACTCGAAATTTCCACCCTACAACAGATGTAGAAATAAATACTAGATTGTAACTAACAATTGCTAACATTGATTAAAAATAAATTTCGTCACCTTTTTATCCGAAAAATTATTTTGTACCATTAATTTTATGTATATCACTTTAATTAAAATTATTATTGATATTATTTTAATTCTAATTTACAATAACTTCATGCAGCATTAATACATTACTATTCTTGAATTTGAAATCGGTAATCATACTATCGCTTAATAATTTTTTTTATTTGATGGTATTTTTATTACTAGGGTATGTTTCTTCATGTTCTCATTTTCGAATTTTGATTTTTTGATTTTTTGGTCTTGAAACGCATTTACCTAATTATTTGATTATCTAAGGTAAAAACATAGATGATTATATTTACAACAAAGCTACGGACACCGAAAATTTTGCATCGAAAATGTGTACTGACTTACGTGTACCTCTGACTCATACCACGCCTGATTTTTCTATAACAACAAAGCTACGGACAACGAATATTTTGCACTGAAAATGTGTACCGGCCTACATGTACCCAAGCGCCTGATTTTTCTATCATTTTTTTTTTCTAGTGAACTGCCGTCCATCAAATATGGACGGCCGTTCACTCACATGGACTCCCGTCTATATTTGATGGACGGGGGTCTATTTACTACGGACGGGTGTCCCCATTTAAAGGACGTCTGTCCATAAGTAAAATAAAATAAATTTTTTTATAAAAATTAGGGATGGTCGTTCATCCGTTATGGACGGCCATCCCTTCATTTTGGACGGCTGCCCACAAATAAGGGATGCATGTCCGTAACCAAAATATGAAAATTAAAAAAAAAAAAAAATTTGGGGATGGCTGTCCATAAATTTTGGATGGCCGTCCCTTACGTTTCAGAGGATGAACTTCAGATTCTCAAGAAGAAAAATGGTCGGGTTTGTGTTAGCACATCCTGAAAGGAAACTACGTCTGCACACAACACACACGCCCAACTTCTTGGGGTTGAACTCTGAGATGGGAGTTTGGAAAGAATCAAATTAGGATTCCAGAGCACATTTAAATGATTCCTTAAAAAAAATGGAGTTAGAGAAGAAGAAGATGGTGGTGAGTTTGACCCTGCTGCGCCTCCTCCTTTCAAATTATCTGATATTAGAGCCGACTGTTCCTAAGCATTGTTGGGTTAAGAATCCATGGAGATCAATGAGCAATGTTGTGAGAGATGTTGCTGTGGTTTTTGGCTTGGCGAAGAAGAAGAAGAAGAGCGAAGAAGAAGGTGTTTTTTTTTTTTTTAAAGTATGGACGGGCGTCCAAAATTTATGGACGGCCGTCTCCAATTGGTTAAGGATGGGTGTCCCTTATTTACGGGCACCCGTCCAAAATGAAAGGACAACCGTCCATAACGGATGAACGACCGTCCCTAATTTTTATAAAAAAAAAATTATTCAATTTTACTTATGGACAGACGTCCTTTAAATGGGGACGCCCGTTCGTAGTAAATGGACCCCCGTCCATCAAATATGAACGGGAGTCCATGTGAGTGAACGACCGTCCATATTTGATGGATGGCCGTTCACTAGAAAAAAAAATGATAGAAAAATCAGGCGCCTGGGTACACGTAGGCTGGTACACATTTTCGGTGCAAAATATTATGTGTCCGTAGCTTTGTTGTTTCTATAATTATTTTTCTAGTGAACGGCCGTCCATCAAATATGGACGACCGTTCACTCATACGGGAGTCCATTTACTACGGACGGGCGTCCCCATTTAAAGGAAGCCCATCCATAAATAAAATGGAATATTTTTTTTTTTTTTAAATTAAGGACAACCGTTCATAAATTTTGGACGACCGTCCCTTACGTTTGGACGCCCGTCCCTTATGTTTGGATGGAATGGACGCCCGTCCATACTTTAAAAAAAAAAAAAAAAAAAAAGAAGAAGCTATTAATGGATCAAAGAAGAAGAAGCTTACTTTGTCCAGCTTCTCAAAAGAATCTGCACGTCGTGGAACCCATCCCCTGATCGCCTCTCTAGCCACTGTGGCTAACCAGCCCGGCCACCCTGCTGCCACTTGCTCACCTTCTATAGCTTTGGGAATATTACCCATGTTGAGCAACAACATATTCCATTTTCTCTCTCTTCCGATCGAAATTCTCACCATGCAACTGAACAGACCCATTCACCTGCTTATCAATCAACATTGTTCTCCCATCATTACTATCATATCGATCTTTCACCTGATATGCGTCCTCTCTCCTTCAGGAAGTTGCCCTTGAGCAGCCACCTAGGTTGCCAAAGATGCCACAGCTGTATCCGTCTTGGTAGACTGCTCGTTCTTTCTTGAAGATGAAGATGCAGTAGTGGCTACTGTAACGGCTGTTATGGCAGTAGCCACTGAAACAGCAGTGTGGAGCTGCGCATTCTGGGCTCTGCAGCCACTGAAACAGCAGCGCGTTTCATGAGAAGAAGAAAGAAGAAACAGCTCTGAGTTTCAGGAGAAGAAGAAAGAAGAAACAGCAGCGCGTTTCAGGAGAAGAAGAAAGAAGAAACAACAGTGCGTTTCAGGAGAAGAAGAAAGAAGAAACAGCAGCGTGTTTCAGGAGAAGAAGAAAGAAGTTTCATTGCCCAACTGGGCTGTCTACCTTCACACGAAATTTCCACCTTAGAATAGATGTAGAAATAAATGCTAGATTGTAACTAATAATTGCTAACATCGATTAAAAATAAATTTCGTTACCTTTTTGTGTGAAAAATTATTTTGTACCATTAATTTTATGTATATCACTTTAATTACAATTATTATTGATACTATTTTAATTCTAATTTACAATAACTTCATGCAACATTAATACATTACTATTCTTGAATTTGAAATCGGTAATCATACTATCGCTTAATAATTTTTTTTGTTTGATGGTATTTTTATTATTAGGGTATGTTTCTTCATGTTCTCATTTTCAAATTTATTTATTTATTTAATTTTTTTTTTTTTTTGGGTCTTCAAACGCATTTACCTAATTATTTGATTTTCTAAGGTAAAAACATAGATGATTATACTTATAACTAAAAAGCATTTTGTATATTTTATTTCTCTAATTTTGTTATGGTTAGAAAAGTAGGGCTGACGCCAAACCTTGTCAACATGGGCGGTCAAAGTTTAGGTAGGTTTTTCAGCCGTTCAGACGCAGCCACGTTGCATGCTGACGTGAGCGGCATGCTCCTGCAAGTGTAGTGGATATGCGCCAGAGTGGCAAAAGGCTGGAAACGTTCCACATGTCCAATCCCTGCACAAGTCGAGGAAATCACTCGAGTGTGTGAACAACGGGACACAAAGCAGGATTTGTACGGCAATCTGACCCACTCACAGATTCAGTAATCATTATCTCAATTCATCCCACTATAAATAGAGGGCTCCTCTTTCGTTTGTGGGATTAATTACTTTTTCTTTGAAATGGCATACATTCTCTCTCTCTTTCGTGTATTCACTTGTATTCTCTAATCTATAAATCAACTCGTTGACCTGATCTCATATATTAATACAATACCAGTGGACGTAGGATTTGTTTATTTAAGCATCCGAACCACTTTAAACATTGTTATTCATCTCTTATTCAACCCAATATCCCCATATAAACGTGTGTCTTCTGAGTTAGCTCAACATTTTCCAAGTGTGATTAGTTGGTGTCAAAATTAAGCATCAACAAATTTAAACCTAAAATATTAAAATATTGTTAGAAAAATATTTAAAACTACATAATAGAAATACAAAATTAATAAATAACATAACCTTATAATAGTCTCCAAATCTCATTACAGACCAAATAAATAGAAAAATAATGTCGGGTGCGTTTGGTTTATTATTTTAGATAGGATTTTGAGAATAATATTGGGTAGTTAGATAGGGGAGTACTACGAGGTAAAATTTAAAAATTTATAAAAAAACCCCCTAGGTTTGCTAATTTGATAAACACCCCAATATATTAAAATATTGTAAAATGACAAAAATACCCCTATCACCCGCAGTGCCAGATTCCGGCCACCACCACCGGAATCTGGTCGGAAAATTTTTTAAGGACACATACCGGTTGGATCTTGTGGGTATTCGATCGATATAGCCTTTTCCAGTCAGATCCACCACGGATCTAGTCAGAAAAGGCCAGATCTAAGGCCGGATGTGGCCATCGACGGTCGAAAAATTCCATCTAAATCTGACATTTTCTGGCCAGATCCACTGTGAATCTGGCCGAAAAAGGCCAGATCAGTGAATTACCGGCCATTTCTGGTGGTGGTGTGACTATTGTGAGAGATTCCGACTACCACCGACGCTGGTTGCTGGAATCTGGTAAGTATTGGTGGGTGAGGATGTTTTTGTTAATTTTTAAACTTTTTTTTGGGGGTATTTAATAAAATTAATAAACTTAAGAGGTCTAAAAGTAATTTAAAAAATGGACTAATATTTCTGGAATAATTTGCCAAATAATATTTGAAGAATAGGATTGAGAATATGGATAAAAATAATAAGCCAAACGCACCCGTGGACTTTTCGGTCCGATCAGTTTAAATTCAAGCCCGATCTGCATGTCGGATCAAGCCGGTTAATAATAACGAAATTTTAACATCCGAATAGGGCTATAATTGGAAAAGCGAAATAGTAAACAAGAGCGATAAAATTTTGCCTTGCCATTTTCAATCAAAATTTCATGTTTCCGTTTGTTCTTTCTTAAACCCTAACACCTGACCAGAGTTACCAAAATACGGTGACAGATCTCAGCTTCAACGACTGCATAATATTTATCACAATCCATAGTTCTTCGTATTTGCAAACTCCCTACTATCTGTAAGTGTTGGTTATTTTTTTCTTTTATTTTTCCTTAGTAAAAGAATGATGTTTTTTTCCTGCAATTTACTTGAACACTGCTTGGTTTGCTGGGAGAAGATAAATGTGTAAATGTTTATAATTGAATAATAGGTTGCTTGAAATCTTAAAATTTTCAGGACTTGTGAACAATTTAACGTAGTATAAGATAATTTGATGTCTTGATTAGAAGTATGGTAACCAGGTAATGCAATATAGTGGTACTATGTGTACGTTTTTATTTTTTGAGTGGAATATTAGTGTCTGATATGTTATCGTTTATCTAGTATGTAATTTAGGCAGAAGAACCGTGAAAAAGTTTTGACTGTCTAAGAATTCTTTTGACATGGCTGCCTACCTTTGTTTAAATGTTAATATCATGCTTTTTGCACATTGGCATTTGTTAACCGATTAGATTTAATGGAGATTTTTATTGTTAAGAGACCGCGGTGAATCATTTAATATGATAACTTGAATAATTGGGAACTTTTACACTGCCTTTTTTGCCTTTAGCTTGTGGCTCTATAATGGAGCACTGTTTTGCGGAGATTTCTTGATAAGAGCATTTTGATGATAGCTATTTGATATCTGCAGCTCCACGAGGAGGCTTGCCTATGTGCTGGAGGAATGGCCAATAATCCTCAATCCTCTGGAGCACAGGTATTTCTGAACTCTGAAGAAGTTTCAGCTTAAGAAGAGCTTATTTAAGTTTATGTGTGCATATTGCCACTTGGTCAATGTAATAATGACTAATTTAGGTCTGGCCATTGTTCCACATAATACGTCAAAACTTGTTCAGTCTTGATTAGTTTTGGGCTTCTTAATGCGTTTATTCTAAATTGATTCAGTTATCATGCATCTCTCAGATGATCAATGCTGACTAGTTTTTTAATATGCTTGAAACCTTTGCTTAGATAAAGGTGAATGTTAGCATGCGGTTTTAATTTGATTCGTATTTTTGGTCAGTTCTAATCTGATTTCTAGAGACGAGTGTGATTGCCTTTTCTTGTTATACCCTATATTAAATCTTTCTACACACACATAAAGCTGATGATTTCTCTAGCTCTGTGTGTGTGCATGCCTGTGTCGCTGTTTCTGTGGATTCTTCTACCTCCTGCAGTTGGATAGTGTTGGTTGATACTTATCCATGCAAGTAATTCTCTTGCCTCTTCATGTTTATGATAAGTGCTTTATGTGCCTTCTGCTATAGTTTCGACCAGTGCTTCCAACACAGCAAGGGCAATCATTTATTCCAGCAGCTTCACAACAGTTTCGGCCTGTTGGACAAGGTATTTCCTCTTCAAATGTTGGGATGCCGACAATACCAAATCATCAGGTGCAGTTTTCACAACCAATGCAGCAGTTTCCTCCAAGGCCGAATCAGCCTGTTCATGCCGTGCCTTCATCACAAGCTATACAAGGACCATATGTCCAAACTAATAGGCCTCTGACAGCCGGCTCACCTCAGTCACAGCACCCAGCCCCAACAATGAATAATCAGATGCCTGGCTTAGGTGTCCCTGGAATGTCTCTCTCTTCATCTTACACTGTAAGAGCTCACTGTCCAAGCAGTTCGTTTTTCTGGAGTACCTTTTGCATTTCTTTTGATGTTTTTGCATTGTTTCAGTTTGTGCCATCTTCTTATGGCCAGCCGCAGAATAATGTAAGTGGATCATCCCAGTTCCAACCAATGCCTCAAATGCATGCACCTGTAGCTGGTCAATCGTGGGTGTCCTCTGCAAATCACAGTGCACCAGTACAACAGACTGGTCAACTACCATCAGCTTTTTCTTCCACAGATACAGTTAGTACACTAAGTTATTAAAATGTCTGTAATTTGGAAAGAATTGTTGCACAACATGATTTTAGGGGTAGATAACCTCCAAGCGGGTTCATGATGTCTTAGTAATATATGTAAATTCAGTCGTATTTTTGGTGTAGATGATCCAACTGGGGTACTGGTGATATTTTATAAACTTATGTTAGATTCAGTCATAATATCAAAAACTTGAGAAATTATTTTTGATAATTACTGAAATATAGTTGTAAGTCGTTTATATTTTCTTTTTTCTTGGGCAATATGCTTGTCATTCTATTTTTATTTTCCCTGTGGAATTTGTATATGGTTTAATTGTACGCTTTTATTGAATATCAGGTAACATATGTTACTAGTATTAATCAGGCTTCATCGTGTGATTGGCAAGAGCATACAGCGAGTGATGGGAGAAGGTAAATTTTTGCTGTATATTCTAGTAATACACACATTGTCTATTCTTTTCTTTGCTTTCTTACTATGTGATGCCAATATTTTTCCAGATATTATTATAATAAGAGGACTAAACAATCTAGCTGGGAGAAGCCTTTGGAATTGATGACACCAATTGAGGTGAGTTGTAGTTGTCTGTTTTAAATTTTTGTAACTCATTTAAGTCAGCTTCTGTGACCAGTCAATCATGCCTTTCATATGCTTAGTATTTTACATCCTGGTATTTGTGCAAACCGTGTACCCTTAAGTGGATGTTGACAATTGAAGTGATGGTTGAATTGAGCAAAGTTGTTTTATTCGAATTTTTCATTTTCTTTGCATGTCTTTCCACTGGTTTGTAGAAGTCATGGCAAGTCTGGAGAAATTTAACAACTGCTCTATATGCTCATTATGAAGGCGGGCTTTCACTTTCTCAAGGCAGGCAACATTCTGCTATTTACATCTTTTTTACAATTTAGGAAAAAAATTATTTGGAATTGGTGTTTGGATGTGCTTAATGGATGTTGAGTAGTAATGCTTGCTTTTATCTGCTTCATTACTTGTGAAGTTTTGGGAGGAGGATACAATTTTTCACCTCCATCATGGAAGCTGTGTGCTTCTATGAGGATTTTCTTCATACACATATTATTGTTATCTTTCTTTTGTTGTTTATTTGATAGTCGCTTTGTGCTTGAATTGTGTACCCGATAAATGTGGTCATTCCATGATGCCTTTAGAGATCAACATGAAGAAATAACTATTTTGTCTGTCATTCTTTTGGTGGTATTTGAACAATTGTGTTTATCCATTCATATCTGGTATCTTTGTGTTTCAATTTTTACCCATTACATTGTGTTTTTTGCCTTTTGTTTGTTTATAATATGTTTGATGTCAGTGTTTGTAAAGAGTTCCCCAAGTATACAATATGCTACTGATTTAAGGTATGAATGCTAAGTCAAGGTTGCTTGTCATTTCAAGTGTTGTTTAAGCAAACTATGAACTCCATTCCTGTTTCTATCTTTTTGATTGTCTATTTTTTAGAACAATTTTTCAGTATTCTCTGCCATAATTTTACTGTGCTCTGAAATTTGATGCTGGTCTTTAATTCATTCATTGATTGTATCATCCAATTCTTTGGTTTTTTGTGGATATATAAAGTTCAAAATCTAAGGGATATAGGAAGAATATAATTTTTGGAGAACAGAGGTTGATGTTACTTACTTGATGATGCTGCCACACGTTACTTAAAAGTATGATAGGGTTCTCTACATTATCCAAGGGAAATTGGATGTACTCTTGTTTACATGAGAACATTGCTATATGTTTCAACATGTAATGCAGTTTTATAATTTTATGAAGAAGATTGCCTCAAGGGAGATCGTTTGCGTTTTCTGGGATTGTGTAGCTACATGCTTTATGTGTAGTAGATCAAGGGCCTAGGGCTCTAGAGATCAGATATTGGATAATTATTTTGTTATCTTCTACTAGTTTTGATCGTGTTTCTGCTATTACCAATTGCTCTGCTTGTTTTGACATGAACTGTAGAGTTATCCTGTTGGAAGTTTATTTTCCTGAATTAAGTTAAAGATTTGAGGTTGCCAAACTAATTGACAGAAATCATGAGTATTTGCATACAATTTGAAATTGGTAATAGGATCATTTGCTGTCAGTGGACATTGGCATTAGTGTTAAAATCACTGTGTTGTAACAGATATTGCTTATCCTTTCCTTCTCTTCCGAATTTCTAAACTCTTTTAATGGACCTTCTTGTGTACTTATGTTTCCTTCCTGACAGTGTACTGCTTATTGTTGGGACATGATATTTATTTATTATTCATTTTAGTTTATTCTCATATTACCTTCATATTTTCACTTGATAATTATGTTATTATAACAGAGGGCGGACGCTTCAACTGTTTGGAAGGAATTCACAACTCAAGAAGGGAAAAAGTGCGTTTAAACTTTAAACACTATTCTCTGTTTAATATCTTTTCCATTTATTTTGCTTAGTGAGGTGTATTCTTGGATCTTCTTATGATAAGATCTTTTGTCCATGATCTGTACATAATTTCTGAATTTGTTTTGCAGGTATTATTACAACAAAGTTACAAAGCAGTCTAAGTGGTCAATACCAGAGGAACTGAAGGTTTTTATTTATTTTTGGTGGTATTTTACACATTATTTCTTTGCCCTTGCCCTTTTGCATGTCTGATCTCTTTTAAAATGTTTGCTTCCAGCTAGCCAGGGAACAGGCCCAAGCGGCAGCGACCCAGGTAACCCAGTCAGAATTGGGGGTGAATTCTAATGGTTCTGCTGCTGTTGGTGTCTCATCAGCTGAAACACCTAATGCAGCTATTTCAGTCAGCTCAAGTACTTCTTCGACTTTATCTGCTGTGGCTTCTAGCCCAGTCCCAGTTACTCCTGTTGTTGCTGTGACTAATCCTCCCCCTGTGATAGTTTCTGGATCTTCAAACATTCCTGTTGCACAGTCTGCTGGAGCAATTGCCACTGTTGTTCAAACTTCAATGATGACTCCATTAAATGTTGTTGGCTCAGGAAGTACTAATGTGCCTCCTGGTTCAGTCAGTGCCAACACAAGTGTAATGTATGCCATTTTACTTCTGTAATTTCTAATGATTTCATATGGTACACAAATATAATCACGAATGGGATGCTATCTTATGCGTTCTCAATAAATTACAGTGGTGGTTTTGGAAATGTCAATTCCCAAGATGCTGTAAATTCTGCAGATGGAGCTTCTATGCAGGATATTGAGGTTTGAGTCATTTTTTATTTGAAGCTGTTGAATTTGTGCATGTTGTTTGAATAGCATATTGCAGACAAAAACATATCAATTTTTGAGTACTTTGCATCTAACAAATAAAATGAGCTTACATTTTATGCACTGCAGATTATTAAGCAAAACAAGTTTTCTTTAGTTGACTTATCTGTGAAGTGCTATTGGCAGGAAGCGAAAAAAGGAATGGCGGTTGCTGGAAAAATCAATGTGACTCCTGTGGAGGAGAAAACACCTGATGATGAACCTTTAGTTTTTGCCAATAAGCTGGTACTGTAAATACCAAGAAACATGTTTGTTATCAAACATTTTTTTCAAGAATTGGCAGACTCGGATATTCTGATTGTCAGCATTGGTTCCTTTCTTATTTAGTTAGTTTTTAATTATTTTCTTTGTGTAGGAGGCAAAAAATGCTTTCAAGGGTCTTCTTGAATCTGCAAATGTGCACTCTGATTGGACTTGGGAACAGGTTATTTAGCTATATCCTTTTCCTATTCCTTCTATGTTTTGTCTCTTGAAAAATACCTTTTTATTGATATAGAAACTTTGTATAGGCAATGAGAGAGATAATTAATGACAAAAGATATGGAGCTCTGAAAACACTTGGTGAGCGTAAGCAAGCATTTAATGAGGTAAACTTTGCTTGAAAATTTACTGCAACAGCTTGCAAGGAGTTCTTCTGTTCCTCTTTTTGGTATAAATAGACAGGTTATATTAAGTTCAAATCAAGAGTTGAATGACCAATGTCTACCTGCTTTTTAAGAGTTAATTTTATGTATCAACAAAATTAACTATTTTTATTCTGATACAAAATTGCTTACATTTTATTTATGTTTTTCAGTACTTGGGTCAAAGGAAAAAGCTGGAGGCTGAGGAGAGGCGAATAAGGCAGAAAAAGGCTAAAGAAGAATTCACAAAGATGCTTGAAGTATGTTGTGTACAGCTCAGACTGACCTTATTTCTCTTCCCTAAATAATTTTTTGATTGATATGATGCTCTTTTTGGTGGCTTGATCTCTGCAGGAGTCCAAGGAACTCACATCTTCTACAAAATGGAGGTTCAAATCTTCCCTTCGCTATCGGAACTTCAATTTTTCGTGTGGTCTTTATATGCTAAGTAGTACCAACTTTTTGCCTCTGCAGCAAGGCTGTAACTATGTTTGAGAATGATGAACGGTTCAAGGCCGTTGAACGAGTTAGAGACCGGGAGGATCTTTTCGACAACTACATGGTGGAACTTGAGAGGAAGGTATGAGTTATCTGCTACTATACATTTTTTTTTTCATAAGTAAAAATGCATGTGGGGATGGGGTCCTTAGTGTAGTTATCTGAATGGGTAGCTGAGATTGGTAATTTGTATGTTACTTAGAATGCTTATCTTTACAGTTTGGCATTGATAATTATCCAGGAGAAGGAAAAGGCTGCGGAGGATCAGAGACGGAACATAGCAGAGTATCGGAAATTTCTTGAATCCTGTGATTTTATTAAGGTACATTTATGAAAATGAGGATTATAATCTGGTTCGTTTGTAGAATTTTTTTGCCATGATTGACATTTTTGAATACCATCATGATTTGTTTTTCATTTGCAGGTGAACAGCCAGTGGCGAAAAGTTCAAGACCGCTTAGAAGATGATGAGAGATGCTCACGTCTTGAAAAACTTGATCGCTTGCTGATTTTCCAGGATTACATTCGTGATTTGGAGAAGGAAGAAGAGGAACAAAAGAAGATACAGAAGGTAGTGTTCATCCAGAATGATGATTTTAATTCTCATCTAGCATATGTCCTTATCTTTTTCTGTGAAAACTATAAGGAACAATTGAGGCGGACTGAGCGGAAAAACCGTGATGCATATCGGAATATGATGGAAGAACATGTTGCTGAAGGCATTCTTACAGCCAAAACTCACTGGCGTGATTATTGTTTAAAGGTGGGCTTATTCTGTTTTGTCCAGGACAAGCTCATTGAGAGCTGCTTAATAGATCAGTTGAGTGGCAAGGAACTGCAGGACCTGCCAAAAATATAGAGGAATAATACAAAGAATTTTAGGAGTATTTTGTTTTGTTTTGTAATTTATATTTTTATTGTAGGTTAAAGATTTTCCCCAATATCATGCTGTTGCATCAAATACCTCTGGCTCGACCCCTAAAGATCTGTTTGAGGATGTTGTCGAAGAATTAGAGAAGCAGGTAACCTTTTTGATATGTATACAGTGTTTGATAAAGTAACATTTTAACTCTTCTCGCTCCCATGGAAGGCAAACTTCTCTATCAAAACAATTTCTTATAATCTTCTAATGACTCTGATGGTTAAAGGATAGGTATATGTTCAAGGTTTTTGGGTCTTTGCACCCCCTCATTTTTTTTTTTTGTTTAGAAATGCTGGGAATCAATTCCCTAACCATGTGCTTTGACTGGTTGACTTAAATAGCTTTTGGTTCCTTTTAAGTTCCTCAGTGCCTTTTTTGGAGGGTAAAAGGTGATGAGGTGGGGTTGCATTAAGTTCTAGGTCTAATCTTGTAAGTCATGGACTTGTTAAATTCAGCTTGAATTATAAGATTCAAGGATTTGTAAGTGAATGTTTTTGAAACCAGACTACCAAGCAGCCATGTATAGCATACTGGTTTCTCGAGCCATCACTGGGTCTATAACATTTCTAGTCAGATAAAGTTTCTTTTAGTTTCCTTGAAATTTGGTGCTTACAAGAAGTTGTGGAATTGTTATGTTGCACCAGCTTAAACCAGTGCTGTTTTATCTTTCTAGCTTAGAAGCATTTTGTTTTGCTAAATAGCTGACTGATAAAGCCAAATTAGCATACAAATGAACTGGACTTGTGGGGGCTTAACCTCTAATTTTCTGTCCTTATTCAAAGAATTCATTAAAGTCGTGGTTTAAGTTGTATGCTTTTTTTTTTTTTCCTCTCTCTTCCTTATGGTCTTAAACCCATTTATCTAGTTTCCTTGACCAGGATGATCTCCGAAGTGTTTACTGTTTTGCTCATATCATATTCTCAAATACTAATAATTCTGTATGTTGCATATGCACATTAATTTTTGGCTTTCAAAACATTGTTCGCTCTTTAAAAGAAAAAATAAATTGTATGCATTCTTGTGTGGTTCACAATTTTTATCACAGTACTAAAATGTAGGATCTCCTTGATTAATGTTCCCAGCAACTCTACTGATGTTACTTGTATTGAATTACTAATTTACAGTCTGTTTTAATTTGTGCATTATTGTTTCACATGGAGTTATGTGAATCTGTAAGTTTTCAGTTTGGGTTTTGTCTGATTTCTTCGATTTTCATATTGACAGTATCATGAAGACAAAGCTCATATAAAAGATGCAATGAAGTCAGGGAAGGTAAGGGCTATTAATTTTGTGCTTTGTTGTCTTCTTACAATTCAACCTTAATGTCAATCATGCTTTTCTTAGGTTACCATTGCCACAACATGGACATTTGAAGACTTTGAGGCTGCTGTTTCAGAAGGTTTGGGTGCTTCACAGATATCAGATATCAACTTTAAGGTATTTCTTTCCATTGTGGTTGTGTTATATTCTAGTGCTTTCCATCTTCTGATTTATTATAATTGTTATTTGAAATATAGCCTCTTAAAAACTTGAGATCTGGGTTGGTTGGTGGGTTGTCTTATGAAATGAATATTTGTTTGCTTAAAATGAGATCTGAGCATGAACAGTGTATAAGAAGTCATTTAGTGTTCCTTTTTTATTACATAACCAGGAGACTGTGATGCCTGAGTCTTAGTTAATTAGGATGGAGTGTTGAAATATTGTTTGTTGTTCCTATTACCATAGTGGAATGGTGTTTAGATGACAATCTTTGTCTGGAAACGTAATGAAAATTGAACTGGATACTATCATATTAAGCAATATGGACAAAACTTTAGTTGTGTTATATACAAATATAATTTTTCGCTATTTTTCTTGTAAAAATCTGAAATAATATGGCCCTTATATATTTTGATGATTTAAACTGGTTGAGAAAAGAGATAAGGTGAGGCAATAATGACATGCATGGTATGGTCCATTCAGTCCAGTTGGTTGAGAGCAAGGTAATGCCATTGTTTTGAAAGGTTTTTGAGGATCGCCTGAATTCACAGCTCAGAGAACTCCCAATGATTTAGTAGATGTATGCCTCTTAAAACTTGGCCTGACATGTTCAACCATACCTGATGAGGATGCTGTACTTCACTTGGTCATGACATGCAACATCAATTAGTCTCATTTTATTCCTTTACCACTGCACCATTTGTTCAAACACTTGAAGTTTACTCTTCATTGGATTAATTTTTATGTTGTCAAAATGCTTCACATGGGTACTCTAATGCCTTTGTATTTGCTAGTTAGTCTTGCTGAATTAGTGACTTCTTTTAGCATGATTAAATTAAGAAGGTTGATGATTTTCCAATAAGATTCACCAAAACAGCATTGCTATGGTATTATTTAAAGTTTACCTGCTATTTATGCACATGCAACTCTTATGGTTTTGTTGGTTTCATATTTGATTATCCTCTATTTGTCCTTTTATAGTATCCTAAGTTGAAAATTGATGATATTCTTCTTTGTTAAAGCTTGTATATGAGGAGTTACTTGACAGAGCAAAGGAGAAGGAAGAAAAAGAGGCTAAAAAGCGCCAGCGACTTGCCGATGACTTTACTAAACTATTGTATACTTACAAGGTATGGCAAAACTGCTTTCTAATATAAGAGCACCTTATATTAGAAGAATACTTAACTCAAGTTGATTCCCAAATTTTTTATCCCAAGTGATGTATTAAATGTTTGGCACTCCCCAAAGTTTAAAGTTTCTTATAAAAGAAAAAAAGAAACCTAATTTGGCACTGTCATAAGACATGCAGCATCATCATATCATCTACATGGCAGTTCTAAATCATTTTGCTTATCAATTGGGGTGGAAAATTCAAGATTCAACAGAATAGTTTCCAATTTAGCAACACTTGGACTTGGCCAGTCCTACCATGCTAATTTTTTCTTTCTGTGCTGCCTTCTAGGAAATAACGTCGTCTTCTAATTGGGAGGAATTCAAACAACTTTTTGAAGACAGTGAAGAGTACAAGTATTGCATTTTCTTATACGATGGTTTTTACATGCTGAATTTTGAGATTCAATTAATTTTATGTGAAGTATCTCTTTTTTTTTTGGTGTGTTTGCGTATGTTAATGTTTTTTTACGCACCTGCTTCTTTAGATCAATTGGTGAAGAAAGCTTTAGGAGACAGATCTTTGAGGAATACATTTCTCACTTGCTGGAAAAGGCTAAAGAAAAGGAGCGCAGGCGTGAGGAAGAAAAGGTACCAGAATTTTTGTTAAATGTCTTTAAGTAGTTGGTTGAATGCTTTCTGTTCATTTGATGTGGCTATTATATTCTTTTGTATTAATGATTAATCTATTGGTGATGTTGTAATGACATCCGATTCTTATTTAAAAAAAAAAAAAAAAAATGGGGTGTCTGATTCATGGTGGATGACCTGCCAGTTGAATGACTTTGACTGATCTTCTTTGCAAATTAATGAATGGCCTCGATTTTAAAGGATTTGTCATATTAAGTGGGGTCTAAGAATCTCAATCCCCCTGTTGCAGATTTTATTGCTGGATGGGTTTGCATGAGAGTTTGGAAAGATTACTGTATTCAATCATGTGTTTCTTGTTGTTTTATTGTTTACATTAGTAGACTTTGGTATCTTCTTTGGGTTGTATGCTCACAATGTTACTTTTGCTCTCCCCTCTTTGCTTTTTGGTATTCTTTTTGGTGAATCAAAAGAACTGAAAGTTCTGTAATCCTAAAAATAATTACTTTTCTATATGCAGGCTAAAAAGGAGAAAGAGAGAGAGGAGAAAGAGAAACGAAAGGAGAAAGAGAGAAAAGAGAAGGATAGAGAACGTGATAGAGAAAAGGGGAAGGAACGAACAAACAAAGATGAAACAGATAGTGAAAACGTAGATCCAACTGATGGTCACGGCTACAAAGAGGAGAAGAAAAAGGAAAAAGACAAAGATAGAAAACATCGTAAACGCCATCAAAGTGCTACTGATGATGTGAGCTCAGATAGGGATGAAAGAGAAGATTCTAAGAAGTCTCGCAGACATGGTAGTGACCGTAAAAAATCTAGAAAGGTATATATGTTTGCTTACGGTAATATGGCTAACTTGTGCTGAAACATATTAATTTTCTTCTGAAACTTGGCAGCATGCATATACACCTGAGTCAGACAGTGAAAGCCGGCATAAAAGACACAAAAGAGACCATCGGGATGGTTCCCGTAGAAATAGTGGTTATGAGGAGCTTGAAGATGGGGAGCTTGGTGAGGACAGTGAAATCTAGTTCGCTGTTTCCCCATTCACCTAAAACGCTAACTACTATGCATCAGCAAGATATATGCATTTCACAGTGATATTTCTGGATATAGTTCTCAACCTTTCTTTGATGCTTTGAATTCCATAATTCCATCTGACAATTTAACCATGTATAAGTTTTGGTTATATTTTTGTCTTAGAGAAATGCTTCATTAATAGGATGTACAAAATATTGCTTTATTGTTTTTGTGTTAGAAACATTGTTCAAGTGCAAAAATCAAAATAGTTCACAATATAATTGTTGTTTTGCTCAGAATAATCCCATGAAAGGTGCATTATGGGCCTGTTGAGAAGGGATGTCGGAATTGAGCTGAATTTTGTTCGCTTTTAAAGGGAATAGATGGAAAGTAATTGTTTTATTGTAGTTTCGAAACCCATTTGTTTCTGTTGTTATAATTTTAAGAAGCAGCTTTAATTTCAACTCTGAAGAAAATATTGGAGGTTACCAGTCGCTATGGGTTATACTTATGTTGGCAATGATAGATCATGTTCTTTTAAGTGAATTAGTGGGTAACAAACTTGCCTTTTAAGCCAACGGCATGATAAAAGAAAAATTAATCAGACATAGAATAGAAACTGGGATATAGAGCTAAAAAGGTGTTATCAGTGTGGGCATTAGTTTTCAAAGCAACGTTGGTCCCAAGGTCATGTGCTTGGGGCACATATGCCACTTTCGCTCTAAATGAAAGAATACCCCCCAACCCAAACCAAATGTCGACTTATTTTTAAGCAAGTTTTATTTTTGGTGGTTTAAACATCAACATCTATCCATCAATCATGTCAAAAATAAAAGTTGTAATTGTAATCTGCCTAAGTCAACTGTGATCAATCAGAAGGTGCCATGTGAAGTATGCGGGTTCCATACCGCAACTCTTGTGACCGTCGTTGGCATTTTGACGCCACCCATTCAACATATTTAGAAACTATTCCTGTTCTCATTTCAACTGTTGTATCTTTCAAAGTTATTCTTTTAACAATACCTCATAATGTAGTCAAGGGGAATAAGAATTATCAATATGAGATCAATATTTATGCTATTGTCTGTAATTTAAGATTTTTGACTTTTTTGCAGTATCCTGGTAAGCCATTGAAATACTTAAAAAGAAAATACCATATTCATATTGAAATTGTTAATGCCAAAAAATTAGTGGACTGGAAAAGAGCATATGAAATTAATAAGAACAGCGAGCGAATGGGCAAGTTTAAATTTTTGAAAAATAAAGCATTTCTGTAACAATTTGATCTTTGATCTCTTCTAGTATGGCATCTCCAATCTCCAACGCAATGTCCCTCTGCTGTGCCTCAAAATCATTCCATTCTTTTATTGAATCCTGGATATCTGCATTCAATAGTTGTGTTATGTTGAATCCATCAACTGATTGTTTTCCCCATGCCTTAATTTTCTCACATACGAGATTTCCAAGCAATTCAGACCCCAGAAATTCTTTCTTATTTTGCTGCCTTCTCTCTTTTCCATGGCTCTCTAAAACTTCTCTCACGCAATCAAATAGAAGCTGCTCTGTTTGTTGTACAACCTTTTTGGATTTGAAGAATTGTGAGGTGGATTTAGAGTGGACAGGTTCTTGTGTTTCTGTTGCACCTGCACAACTTGGCTTTTCAATGGCTGAGTGAAAAAGTATGCTCCAGAAAGAAGTTGATAGTATGGAGTCCTCTGTTATTTTCTTACTGAGTGTGATACAACTTCTTGATGGATTCTCTTCTTGAGTGTTGCCTGAACCCTGTCTTGCTGTTTTATCTTCAAAAAAACAAAGTAAATATAAGAACATAAAAAATGAAGATCATAAGTTGAGAAAAATTGGTAACACTTACCTGGTGAAGAACCTCTATGAGAAGTTATTTCTTCAAGCACAGATACAGGGCTTATCTGTTTACTGTCTTCTACGCATCTCCATTGAAGCTTTCCTTCTGCAGCAGCCTGTTAGCTTTGTCAGTAATTTAAGTGATTTGATTGTTTCTAACAACTTTCGAACAGGGTTTTAACAAAATTAAGTTTTATAAAAAATGATCCAGGAAGACCACAATAAACATAGTTTTTCTACCTCTTTATCTCCTGGACTCCAGAGTTTAAAAGACTGAGAAGTATTTTCAATGAATGATACATCATTCTTTTGCACTGAAGTTGATGTTTCTTCTACTTCGCTATCCGAGCACGAATTGAAAACCGTTGTGCTACTGGCTGTGGAAAATCCATCTGGTTCTGCAACTTCTTGGCTATTCCTGGCCATCTCAGTTACACTAAATTGACCATTTCTGTTATCATTATTCTTAATCCTGAGGCTGTCTTTAATGGATGTAAACTTCTTATATGCAGCTCTCAATACCTTGGAAAATTGTGGAGTAACCTTTTTGCTTTTATTTGGACTAGTATTACCGGAACCCTTCAAAGACTTGCTTGAATTACCCTGGCTGAATCTGGTACTACTTTCTGAATTCAAGTTCTTCTTCTGATACCCTCTTTCTGATAGGTAAATCTCTAGTATGAAAGGTTCTTGTTGCTCTTGAAGGAATTGTCCGAGTTGCTTAACTACTTTAGGTTTTGTGTTGGCCATTAGAGCAGTGCTGTGTTGAAACTGAATATGAAGTTGCGGGGTGCAAATTAGCTGTTTGAACGGTTAGAACACAGAGAGAAACAAAAAAAAAAAAAAAAAAAAAAAAGATGAGGTGGTGCTGTTGCAGGTGTAATAAATGTTATAGACAAAGCATATCTGTCAGTTTGGGACTGAAGTAGAACAGAAACAGAAGGAAGACTGGGAATTTAAGGCTTTCAGATAGTGGAAAGAGAGAGTCCAAACAGTTACTGCGTAAGAATTAGCTTTAANCCTAAGTCAACTGTGATCAATCAGAAGGTGCCATGTGAAGTATGCGGGTTCCATACCGCAACTCTTGTGACCGTCGTTGGCATTTTGACGCCACCCATTCAACATATTTAGAAACTATTCCTGTTCTCATTTCAACTGTTGTATCTTTCAAAGTTATTCTTTTAACAATACCCTCGTAATGTAGTCAAGGGGAATAAGAATTATCAATATGAGATAAATATTTATGCTATTGTCTTTAATTTAAGATTTTTGACTTTTGTGCAGTATCCTGGCAAGCCATTGAAATACTTAAAAAGAAAATACCATATTCATATTGAAATTGTTAATGCCAAAAAATTAGTGGACTGGAAAAGAGCATATGAAATTAATAAGAACAGCGAGCGAATGGGCAAGTTTAAATTTTTGAAAAATAAAGCATTTCTGTAACAATTTGATCTTTGATCTCTTCTAGTATGGCATCTCCAATCTCCAACGCAATGTCCCTCTGCTGTGCCTCAAAATCATTCCATTCTTTTATTGAATCCTGGATATCTGCATTCAATAGTTGTGTTATGTTGAATCCATCAACTGATTGTTTTCCCCATGCCTTAATTTTCTCACATACGAGATTTCCAAGCAATTCAGACCCCAGAAATTCTTTCTTATTTTGCTGCCTTCTCTCTTTTCCATGGCTCTCTAAAACTTCTCTCACGCAATCAAATAGAAGCTGCTCTGTTTGTTGTACAACCTTTTTGGATTTGAAGAATTGTGAGGTGGATTTAGAGTGGACAGGTTCTTGTGTTTCTGTTGCACCTGCACAACTTGGCTTTTCAATGGCTGAGTGAAAAAGTATGCTCCAGAAAGAAGTTGATAGTATGGAGTCCTCTGTTATTTTCTTACTGAGTGTGATACAACTTCTTGATGGATTCTCTTCTTGAGTGTTGCCTGAACCCTGTCTTGCTGTTTTATCTTCAAAAAAACAAAGTAAATATAAGAACATAAAAAATGAAGATCATAAGTTGAGAAAAATTGGTAACACTTACCTGGTGAAGAACCTCTATGAGAAGTTATTTCTTCAAGCACAGATACAGGGCTTATCTGTTTACTGTCTTCTACGCATCTCCATTGAAGCTTTCCTTCTGCAGCAGCCTGTTAGCTTTGTCAGTAATTTAAGTGATTTGATTGTTTCTAACAACTTTCGAACAGGGTTTTAACAAAATTAAGTTTTATAAAAAATGATCCAGGAAGACCACAATAAACATAGTTTTTCTACCTCTTTATCTCCTGGACTCCAGAGTTTAAAAGACTGAGAAGTATTTTCAATGAATGATACATCATTCTTTTGCACTGAAGTTGATGTTTCTTCTACTTCGCTATCCGAGCACGAATTGAAAACCGTTGTGCTACTGGCTGTGGAAAATCCATCTGGTTCTGCAACTTCTTGGCTATTCCTGGCCATCTCAGTTACACTAAATTGACCATTTCTGTTATCATTATTCTTAATCCTGAGGCTGTCTTTAATGGATGTAAACTTCTTATATGCAGCTCTCAATACCTTGGAAAATTGTGGAGTAACCTTTTTGCTTTTATTTGGACTAGTATTACCGGAACCCTTCAAAGACTTGCTTGAATTACCCTGGCTGAATCTGGTACTACTTTCTGAATTCAAGTTCTTCTTCTGATACCCTCTTTCTGATAGGTAAATCTCTAGTATGAAAGGTTCTTGTTGCTCTTGAAGGAATTGTCCGAGTTGCTTAACTACTTTAGGTTTTGTGTTGGCCATTAGAGCAGTGCTGTGTTGAAACTGAATATGAAGTTGCGGGGTGCAAATTAGCTGTTTGAACGGTTAGAACACAGAGAGAAACAAAAAAAAAAAAAAAAAAAAAAAAGATGAGGTGGTGCTGTTGCAGGTGTAATAAATGTTATAGACAAAGCATATCTGTCAGTTTGGGACTGAAGTAGAACAGAAACAGAAGGAAGACTGGGAATTTAAGGCTTTCAGAGAGTGGAAAGAGAGAGTCCAAACAGTTACTGCGTAAGAATTAGCTTTAAAAATTGGACCTATTCTTGAGCTCCAAATATTGCATGGACTTGATGGTTAGCTCATATTGGCGCCTTTCTAATTCAGTGTTCATGTTTATATCAATGCTCGTCTTTATTTGCATCTGCACTCTCATTTACATTAAGTTTTCATTTAATTTGTTACATACTGTGATGGTCCCAAAGAAATTGTCTTTTGTACAGTTTGTCCCTAGCTAGTCAATATTCCTGAAGGGTACATAAGAAATTGATCAGTGTTATTATTTGTCTTCCATTGATTGGTTAAACAAAAGCTATTGAATAGAGTCACTTTCTAGTAATTTGTCTGAACAAGCTCACGAGACTATAGCATTAGAACAGAAATATAGCTTTAATTTGCTTGTTTTATGCACAAAAGAGAAAATGGAAAAGAAGAAAAGTTGTTTCCTTTTGTTGTTTTACGGAACTTTTCAAAGTTGCTACGCCATTGGAATGAAATCAAGTAGGTGGGTTCCTTTAAAAGCAATAATTTGTGAAGTGGGTTAAAACTCTAAGCAAGTATAATATTTGGAAGTGGGTAAACTAATTGCACGTAAAATCACCATCTGCATCTGGTGGGATTGTTAGATTAGACCTACAGCATCGAGACAAAGTGTGCTGGTCATTAATTGTGAGAGAATGAATGGTAATTAAGGTCTGCATGGCTTGAAATATTATCCCATCATCTGCCAATCAGATTTTTTTTATTTTTTATTTTAAATTACTTCCTCTTGATGATAATGGTGGGGCAGTTTGTGATTAAGGTTTTTCACATTTTTAAATTTTGTGTCGACACTCGACAGAATACTCTCGTCCATTAGAGTGGCGGGCAAGGGGGCCCCAATAATACTTAATAATTATTATTTTGCTTAGTGGTAGCACCACAATAATAGTTACTCCTGAAATATCAGACCATTACTAACTAATTCGTTCACAAAAATAGTAAAGAATAATATATAGCACAAAACTACAAATTATGATAGTATTTATTTCCATTAGAAGCACATAACGTGTAGATTTGGATCTTTAATTATTGAAAAGTTCGTTGTGATCCTTGGAAGCAAAGGAAGAATATTGAACAATTTGAATTATAATGGGCCTTAAGAACCATTTTTTATATGATACAACCACCCTATCATTTTATCATGCGACAGTCAATAATCATGGATGTATAATTGGGTCAAAGTCATCATCCATGATTAAACATAATCTTGGCGATTGAAAACGTGAAAATGTGGTATACCTAACTGGGATACTGATACGCCACTGAATATTAATTGTGATTTGTGAGAGATTAGATTTTAGCATCTTCATATATGTGGATAGGATGTGGATGTGATAAAGGCCTCATCTAAAACACAATCAAACCACTGCCTCAAATTATTAAAAATTATTTTTCACTTTCTTTGGATAAAATACCTGTACTGCTTTTTTTAAGATGTGATTATCATTAGCATGATATAATGCCTATCATGACATGACTGACTCCCACTCATTGAAAGCCTTAGCATTTGCACCAAAAATGATACCCGATTTCTCAATTCTCTCAGGATAAGAGAGCTAAACCTGTAGCAATACTTTCAGGTTTCAAAGAGCACTCCTTCAGTATTTTTAGTCAAATGCAAAGGCCCAAAAGAAATCAAAACAATTAATAAGAAACAAAGTTAAAAAGAAAAAGTCACAAGTAGGATTCTTACAAGTGAATCAAAAACTTAAATTTGTCTCAGCAATGAAGGCAATCAATTACCGGGTACTGGTACCTAATTATATGCAGAAGTCAAATAGTTAAGGATATCCCAATAATAGTTATTAAGTGCCTAACACATCTCTGTAACTGCATAAATAAGCTTCAATATCTTGTTATTTAAATACATAACATACAGAATAGGCAAAGTAACACAATGGAACCTTTGCTTTTTCTTTAACACCCTAGAGATTTGGGTACTGAAACTGGATTCTGGGCTCTCAATTTTTCAATATTAAATTTCAGTTCATTGTGGAAAGAAACAAATGATTTCTGACGACATCCAAAAGCAGCACTGAATTGTTTAATCTCTTCTTCAAGATCTTTCCTTCTCTGTACTTGAGAGTTCAAATCCTTCAAAACATTTTCCCTTTGGTCAGTGACCAGCGCAAGTTTTTGAGATGATTCAGCTACATCTTTAAGCAAAGAATCCCGTTCTTCTTTCACTACTTGAAACTCTCTTTCCAAGCTACAATATCTTTCTTTAGTAGCCTCCAAAAGTTCATTACTGAGATCCAACTCTCTCTTGATATTGTCAATATCATTACTCAATGTCTCCTTCCAACCTGAAGCTTCTCCTTCCAGAGTGCAGCCCTTAATCACATATAAAACTAATTCTTAATACAAAATGGAAAGCAGCCTACAATTTTTAATTTCAAGCTAAAGTAGTTCCTATTCTGTCTGCTATCATTGTGAAAGTTACCAGCACATATGCATAAGTATTTGAAGTCTTCTAAATTTTCAAGGGCCACTAAGGTCACAGAAAATTCAAATTTTTTTCTACTCTTACTCTCATGTTATGTCATAATTAAGTCAGAAAAAATAGATCAACAACATATCTTCCACAAAAATATAGACCAACTATATGACAGAAAAGACTTTAAGAGTTCTAAAATCTTGGAAAAGGTAACAAATATCCAAACATCAGGATACAGAATAAAATCATTATTACTATCTGATATCTTAATAATTTTGACGAGTCAGCTACCTTATGATTGCAGCTACAATGAAGATCCTTCTCTTGTTTATTGTCCATGGCTGGTGTTTCTGACAGCACAACTGCTGTAACTGTGCTTTTCAACCTCTCAAAAAGCACCTTGCAATTTTCTTGGACTAAAGAATCCTTCTCTTGGAAGGATTTGTTAGCATCCATTGCCATTGAGAAATGGGTTTCCAGAGTTGAAAAAAGGCTTGACCAAATCTCACAGGTGTTAGAAAGCACTTTGGCAGTTGAAGATTTCCCATCAGATGCAAAACTCTATTTGAGATGCATTAAAAAGTAAATATCACTTGAATATCTGAAGATAAAATTTGAAAAGAGACATTCATAATTCAAAGGTTTTACCTGCATTGTGGACAGGACATCTTTGTAAAAGTCTTTGCAACTTGCCACAGATTCACACAGCCTTCGAGGGATTTCTTGAACTTGTAGTGCTTCTTGTCTAAGTTCTGATATCTCTCCAGTTAATTGGTCATTCAATTGTACCTGTTCTGTGTATCTTTGCTGCAAACATATGCACCCAAACATTAGCTACAAAGCATGGAAGTATCGATCAGAAAAAAATTAAAAGTTATAAGCAGCAGAAATGATGTCAAATCACTTTCCATGCATGGTAGATTATGCATGCAAAGAATCATGATTCGGTACAATGAAATTGTGGAACTAATAAGCAATATTCTTAACCACGGATAGATGTAAAAGATCTGGAGGGAAACAACAAAATATAGGTTTCCATTTAATTCTTCAAAAGAAAAAAAAAAATTATGTTATAATAGTTAACCTCTATCAAATTCCTTTTTCAGATAAAAAAAAAAAAATTAGGCCAACCTGAAAGTCATTCTTCTCCTCAGTGACAAGTTCTAATTGTCTTTTGAGCTTTCGCACCTCTTGCTCGTAACTCTCATTTGAGCAACCCTGAAAAAAATGTTAGTGTCCAGTTGAAGTAATATATTAAATTATAAACAGGCTAAAATTATTAATCCGCATAAAGATGTACAACAATTATCGTTATCTATCATTGAATAACATTAACCTAGGAGTTTAAAGAATTAAAAGAGGTATTCAAAATACGCGACAGTTAGTAGCATGAAGCAAGCAATTCTGTATGATAGTCTCTAGAAACGAGAAGATAGTTAATTGTTTTAGAAGTGTGACAAACAATGAGGCCAATCATGTGTTTTCCAATCCAGCATCGAGGCTTAGAAAAATGGAAAAGCAAACATCACAGATAAACAAACAGTCTGAACAATAGTGTATTATTGTTAAAAGCAATATTGATAGGACAATAAGAACAATACGATCTTTAATAACTTTAGAAATATCCACTCACAGGAGTTGCATCATCTGAGGGAAAGGATTGGACTTTTCTTGCAGGTGTAATCAGCAATGAATCCAGATCAGTCATGTGACCTTTGTTCATTTTCAACCATGTGTCTTCGTCAGCCACACTGCTAAAAGAATCTGGAAGAGGGCTATAATCAGGTAGACTTGAATAATTTGATCGCTTGGCGACAAACACATTGGGAGCAGCCTTAAAAGAAGGAGTTCTAAAAACATCTCCCTGGCATAAACTATCATGGCAATTTTCCTCAGGGCTTTGTCTTCTACAATCCTGCTCCTACCAGTAAATATTGAATTATTAGAACCTTGATAACGTAGAAATATTGGAGAAATTCCAAAGCAAATACATAAAACATGGAGAACAATCCAAGCAAGGACTAGATATGTAAATTTTGACTAATGCTTACAGACTACTCTCCGGAAGTGCAAGCAGGTACAGGTAGTAGTCATTTTAGAGAACCACAAAACAATCAGACAAGGATAAAATTGTAATCAGATAACCACACAAAAAATATAATGGAATTTCTAGGCACAGCTTTTCCATTAGTATACCTGCGATGAGCTCCTACTATCTGAGGAAGTGACGAGATTACTGAGACTGTGAATTCTCATCTGTTGCTCCATGATGTGCTGCTCACGCTCTTTGTGTGATCTCCTCTCCTCTTCTAATTCCAATTCAAGCTTCTCACGCTCTAGTTCATACTGTAAATGCAACATGACAGATGTAGTTTATGTAATATGTAATTCGTGCTTCAAGGTCGAAAGAAAGTCCTCGCTTGGTGTCTTAAAAGGAGAATTTACCTTAAGCATGTCATTCCTCAATTTCAAAATCTCTTGCTCTAACACCTCAGCACGAGATCCCTAAATATTACTTAGACCAAGTTAGTTTGTTTTTAACTCTCATCTGCACAAAACGGATTCTATATGATCATCACCTGAAGTTTGCTACGTAATTCCTCTATTTC